ATGCCAAAGGGTAGAGAAGAAGGAGGATGACTTACCAGAGGACAAGGGATTTTTAGAACAGTGAAAATACTTTGTAAAATGTTCTGTATGGTGTACAGTAAAGGACACATATCATTATGCATTTATCCAAGTCCATCAAGACTCAACACAGGGCCAGGGATTTAGCTAGTGGTTCTGCCACCTGCCTCACTGGGGCAAGGTCCTGAGTTCAATCTCTGCTACCAAAAAAAAAAAAAAAAAGTCTGAACCCAGTGCAAACCGTGGACTTCGGTGGATGATGATACATCCATGATGGTCCACTGACTGCACAAATACCCTATTCTTATCATTCTACACTGCAAACATGCACTAATAAAAAAGAATATCAAAGTGATGAAAAGCAAATGAAACAAAATGCACCCCTCTGGTATAGGAAGCTGGTGGTGGAGGAGGCTCTGCAAGTGTGGGGAATCATGACACATGGGAACTCTGCTTCCTGTTCAGTTTTGCTGTGAAACTAAAACAGCTCTAAAAAATAGAGGAAAGAAAAAGAAATGAGGAAAATAAATATATTGAAAACAGAAGGAGAGGGCTACCTTATGACGTAGTAGCAGAAAATTTAGCAGTACTGTTTTTGTTTGTTTGTTTTTTACAGTAGCAAAGTTTTACTGAAGGTAGGAAAAGAAGGAAGCTCTTCAGAGCAATTTTGGGCCACTTTAAGGAGGAAAAGAAGTACACCTTACATCATAAGGGCGGGCTATTTGTGTAAGAAAGAAATAACACACTGGCAAAAACTCAATGCGGACTGTCACTCAGTCCTCAGGCTGACATCAGGTCTAGGCCATCCTACCAAAAATGGGCTCAAGTTCTCACAAGCAATCCAGATTCAGGGCTTTGGGAACTGTTCTGGGCATGTGTCCTGGGATTTTGCAATTAACAAATGCCTACTTCCCCAGACAGCTTTGCCACACCCTAATCGCCTGTTGCATTTCCCCCTGAAAAACACAAATCCACATAATTCTTTACAGGGTAGCAGTACTGCTACTTACAGTGATGGGCAAAGTAGAAAATGTATCTAATGAGCTACATGATCTAGTTAAGATTTTCAGGCAGGGTGCTAAAAGTGCCACTTGGCTTTTTCTGCTGCTTTTAGTAAAATGCAAGAGATGAGCTGAAGAAAAAACACTAAAATATAAAGAATCTCAGACTTACTGAGCTCAAAACTGAAACTGTTTCTCATTCTCAGAACTTCCAAGATTTTTAAATTAAATAATGATTTCACAGCAAAGACTAAATCCAGTGAATGACTGTAAGATCTTCAGTTAAACCCTTACAGCTGAGGCAGTATCTAAGGAAACTATTCATTTAACAAAAAGCCTAAAAGATATCAAAACAGACTCTCATAAATTCACTCCATTAAACAAAAAAAGCCTTCTAAGACACTTAAAGATGATATTCCCCTTTGGCCTTGCAAGAAGATCATGTTAAGAGGGGACTGTCTTGAAAATGTTTCTGTGCAGCTTTTGTCTAATGGAGTTGACTATAAATCTATTCATTAAAATTTCACAAAGCTTTAAAAATAACTATATTTTCTTGTATTCAAAGGAACTGAGGGTACAAAATGAGAGCTCTTTGGATCCTTGAACCACTATAACCCAGAATTAAGTGTAAAAAACAACTCAGGGGCAAATTCTGGCCATTTCTATTGAAACAAGAAGGAATACTCTGAAATTAGAACCAAGGACTCAGAGGACAGAGTTAAAAGACTTAAAGAACAATTTCCACTCTTCTGGTTCCTGAACATCCTCATCTCCCTGCCTTCACTTCCTGGCTACCCTGAGGGTTGCTAAAAAGCACAAGGAAATCAGAAAAGGAAGAGAGTAGCCACAACCAGTGAAATATCACCAAGGACACTGACGCTCCCCATTCTGAACACCAGCTCCTAGAGGCTCTTTGGTGAGAGCCTCATTCACCAGCTTTGTTACTTTTGCTGTTACCACTTCAGAAAGTCCAGGTGGGTGGTTTCTGAAGTGTTCCACCTCAGATGCCGGCCCTGATACCATCAGTAAATGTACACAGATCCCAGTAAGCAGTGGTATGGATCAGAGCAGCAAAGCTGTGGACAGATCCAGCCAGAGCCCCACACTGATCCCAGTGGCTTGGCCACACAGGCCCAAGCCAAAAGTTCATGCAGAAAAGAGCTGCACAGCTGCACAAGCATCAGCCAGATTCCTGCCCTAATACTATCCATAAGTGCACAGAGATCCTAGCCAGAATCCTGCTCAGATACCAGGGACTGAGGTGCACAGCCCTCTGTCAAAGGCCTTCCCAGTCAACAGCTACATAGGAGCCCTAGCCAGAGGCACACCTAGATGCCAACCCAAGCATGCACAGGCCCCAGCCAGAAGCCTGCCCAGACAACAGGTCTGTTCAGAGAACCAGAAGACCACCATTCTGAATTCAGGAATTTGTGCACAATTAAGCAGCAGAGCAAAGGCCTCTCAGTGGCTTGCTGAAAATAATTGAAGACCACTGAGTAAGCAAAAGTTGCCTCAACAAAGGCACAGCAGGCTGCATCTGCTGAAATGAGAAGACATGTACACGAGTCTCAAAACCAGTCTTCCAGGTCACCTCAGGCAACCACAAAGGAAAACAAGATGGAATAATCTGATACACAGCCACCTGGACTCCCTGAACTGGCAACAAAAGAGGATCTGCAAAATATGAAATCAGAAATAATTTATCAGATTACAACAGAGATTGTGCCCACAGAGCAAGACATGATTAATAAATCTAGAGCAGACACAGATTTTAAAAAATAGAGGAGCTGAGGAATATGATGGAATCCCAACATAGGAAACAAATGAAATGCATATCAGATGCAAACATTTCCACGAGATTAAAAACTCCATTGAAAGTTTACGCAGCACAATGAGCCAAAAAGGGGTCATAATTTCAGATATAGAAAATAGGATTGCAATTACTGAACAGGAAAAGAAACACATCTTAAAAATAGTAAGGGGCCATGAGAAATCAATCCAGCAGTTGCTAGATGATGCAAAGAATAACAAGACTGATCAGAATCAATGAAGAAACAGGAGAGAGTGCAGATGACATTTTTTTAAAAAAAAACTGTTCTCAGAAGTAATAGCAGAAAACTTCCCAATTAATGGAGAACAACTTGACTTACAGATAAGCGAGGTATATAGGACCCCAACTAGCCATGATCAAAAGAAATCTACACATAGTCATATAATAGTTAAGATTCCAGAAACCCAACAGAAGAACAAAATTTGACAAACAGAGAAAAGAAACAAATCACACACAAAGGAAAACCCATCAGAATCAAAGCAGACTTCTCAGGCAAGAAGAGATTAGAGTGACACATTTCAAGCCCTAAAGGAAAACAACCTCCAACTCAAAATGATGTACCCTGCAAAACCATCTTGCAAAATTGATAGAGAAATGATATATACTTTCATGACAAAGAGCAATTTAGGAACTTCCTGAATACCAAACCAAATTTTTTAAAAAATTTTTTAATGT